ATAAATATAATAAATATAAAGCATATAAACATCTGTTTAACCGGCTACCCAAATTCACCTTCTGAACAGATTTCGTTCAACAAAGGGCAATAAAATCATGTTTCATACTTTTATTTTTGCACATTTGCAATATGATTATTGCATATTTTTTCTGCTCAAGTAAGAATATATTTTAAAAGAAAATACAGCACGTTCCTGAAAGCTATTAATTCACATAAATACATTAACTTGGTATTTGTGGGTTCGTGCTGCTGTGGCGGCAATTTCTGTTTTGTTCTTTTTCTCTTATTCGCTTCTTTTGTCCGACTGGTTGGTATTCATTTTTGCACAAGCAATAATCAACGCATTGTTCTTCATAATTTCATTTATTTTTATTATACACATTTATTTGCTTACTTATTTATTTATTTGTTGTGTCGCATTGTTTCATCAGCCAATCCGTGACAGCACACATTTCGTGCGTTCAAGTCAATACGATCACCAAAGAACATTCACTACATTCGACAAGCACCTCGCTATCTTCATCGTCGACGGCGCTGTCGTCGACATCGCGATTAGCGGCATCAGGGCCCTGTATGTCTTCATGAACACCAGTTCCTACACTTTTACTGTTGTTGGCACATTTCGATGTAGACGCATTTTCTGCGCCACTGTCAGCAGCTGCTTGAATATTCTTATCGGAGTTATTTTGTTTTTGTTGTTGAGTCAGTTTTTTCTCTTCCGAAGTTTTACTGGCACTATGCCTGTTCGGCGTACGCTTCTGGTTACGGTTGAGTATTTCACTGTCCACTGACTCATCAACAATATACTGACCGCCACATCGGCAATCATATGTATAGTACCAATACATGTCACCCGCAATAGACTTGCATTCTATCCCGTCTTCGCAAGCAACTTCACTATCACTGCCACTGTCACTTCCCCTATTTGTTTTTGCGGTGGCGGCACAGCGTTTCATGTCGTCAAGCGTTAACCGCGCAAAGATATTACTGTGCGTTTGGAATTTTCTCAACAGCAATTCGGCATCGTAGTGTCTTCGTTTCACAGGGTCTTTGAGCGTATTCCAAGCTTCATTTATGGCTACAAATTGTTCACTGTTTTGATCTGAAGAAGTTGAAGTTAAGATTTCGGCATTTATGTCAACAGCAACAGGCGTAATATTAGTTATGGTTGTGGCATTATCATCATTAGCAATTGCTGCATTTCTTTTTGTTTTGGTATCTATGTTATTTATATGTTGTAATTTATCGGGATGACATTGTAGAATCAATTGTTTATAAGTGCGGCGCAGCTCTTCGAAGCTCGCCGTTGGTTTGCAGTTTAAAATTTCATAAAAACTCTTCGTTGGCATTATCGCTGCTGTGTAATATGCTACTTATATGTATTTTCCAGTACAAGTACAATAATGTATGTAAAATTTTAAGCATACATGTCAACACATCAAGTTCCTATTCAATGATTTATTTCTGGTCTGCAAGCAAAAAAAATTATGTGTATACAAGTTTAGTACATTTGGTAATTTAATATATACTTACTTTTAAATGTTGCATGAAAGGCGATATTTATGCAATAAATATAAAACCAACTATTATAAAACCACGATTTCTACCACTCAAACATATGTTGAAAAAAATAAAATATTAATGTTTCTAAGTATAACCTAAATAAAATATTCCTTTACGCGTTGACTCACAAAGGCACACCTTTTTCAAAAAGGAATATTAAATAACTGTCTTACGATGTACCTACTCTTCTACTTTGTCCATCCCACTTAAGAGAGGCAGTCAATACTGACACTCCTTATTAAAAACTTAAATATGAAAGCCTAAAATAGCTTAGCTAGGAAATGAAGGTGATTTATTGATCGTGAGGTTAGTAAGAGTAGAGGTCATTAGCAGCGATGGCGCTAAGGTAAGACAGGTGTGATAGGAAATGCTATAAAATCTGAAGTTGCATAAAATTAGGTGGCATTCAATTACTAAATTTTCTAGACAGAACAAGAGAGGGATATTTTATACAACTTAAGAATTTATGTACATGACAATAATGAAAAAGTTTCATACCGTATCATGTTTTGTTATTTTTATATCTATACATAGTATTTTTGTTATTAAGGTGTATTATAATGAATTTATTTTCAGACCACTTTTGGTATTTACTGTGTCTCCTGTTCTTTCAAATAGACTAAGAGAATTACTCAATAATAAGTAGTCTATGGTTTTTCATTTTATTTTTTATTAATCTTCAAATTCATATCCATGTACGTAAAATAGTTGCAAAAAACATACATAGAAAAATTAAATATTTCATAAATATCGAAAATGATATGATATTAGATAAAGTGTTGAAATTGACAAACAAAATGAAACACATTTCACACCAACTTAATATAAAGGCCAAAAAATTTCTTAAAATAGGAAACCAGTTTGTTACAAATACAGTCACTACTTATAAAGGTAGCATCAATAAACTGTGTTGACCCAATTAAACGACTGGCAAAAGTAGTTGATGCGACCAACCTACATACATATGTACATATATACACGGGTTCATATACATATATGAATATTAAGGCAATCACGCACGAAAATCAACACAACAAGAGAAAGGGTGCGAGGATTAAATACATTGTTGGGGAAACTTTCAACTCGTTTATTCTTTAAGGCTGAGGGTTCAAGCACCCCCAAATATCAGTGAGGCGAAAGTAAAATGCACTTGGAAAGAAGAAACAGAGGTTTTGTTGCGCAAAAAACCGGCTTTATTCGGACTATTTAATTCTAGTAGAAAGGGAGGAGGGCGTAGACATTTTTAATTTATATAAGTACAACTTATACTTCTAAATACACATGTCAACGACTTTAATAAAGTAATATAACGGCGACATAAAATCGAAAATATCGAGTGTTACTTTTATTTCTTGTAGCTAACATTTATGCATACAAATATGTACGAAAATATGTCATGACAATCTGTTTATAAAATTACTCGTTTGTACTTACTTGCCTTTTTTGGAGATGTCGCTGGATTTGCGCTCCTCCCACAAAGAAATAAAAATCAACGCGATTGTGGTATAACTTCAACTACACGACGCAAATCTTTCCTCCGCAGAACACACTTTTTCTTTAGATTTCAACACATTTTCTGTTACATTCAATTTTGATATCAAATCGTGTTTTAATAATTAATGCACTTAACCGATTGGTCACAGAAAATTTTTTAGGAAAACACGCACACAATATAGTAGTTTATTACGAGAGATTTCTTCAAATACTGATGGCATTGCCAACACTGCTTTTGATCAGCTGAAATAACTTTTGACATTAAAAACAGGAAGACACAATGTTGCACGTTCTAGATGGTTTTAGTACATTTTGACACTAGATACAAGGTGTCAATGAAAAACTAATATTAACTTTCAATTAAAACGGTATTTTTAATAGCTTTCAGGTCTATATTTAAAAAAATTTATTAGAATATCATCATCTAACAGTTAGCCACTGGTCCAAGTTGTTTCAACAGGTTTTGACAAAAAGGTATGGGTGTTAAATAAATATGCACCCAAATAAGTTTTGTTGTTGTGTTCGACTAATAGTTCGTTAATGCAAACAGTCCTTGGTCAATTAAAAAATATGACCAATTTCGGTTACATCGACTAGACTGTGGTAGCAACAACAAAAATAGGACGTTTCTTTAAGTAAAACATACTTCAGGATAATTTACATTGGATTTGTTATGGGCGAGAGTTTCGTTGAAGTAATATACAAAATTTAATGTGTATCCGAGACATTTAAGTTCTTCACTTCCTTCTGATATTCTTATTAGATGAGCTAATGCAATATTTATACATTGCGAAAAAATATATCTTTATAACGAAAAAATATCATTATAAACAGTCTCTAGTTAGGTTTTAGAGGCATGTGTATTATATGATGTGTGTATACTTGCGTATAATTAAAAGTAAGGGTATGATGACATCAAACTCACAATATTCAGTACACAACACAACTTAAGTTGTCTTTTTTTATAAAATAATTTGCAACAGATAATTGATCGGTGCTAAAGGTACCAGCGGTGGTAACCATTTCTTTAAATTTAAAGACTCAGAGCTGAATACCGACTTTTATTGATAACAAACAAGTAACACATAAATCACAAAAACCTAAACTGGTTGCTATTTTGCATTATCACTTACGCACACACATATATTTATATACTTACTTACTTCAGAGAATKCCCGTTTTCGTTTCTTTGTTTACAAACTTATCGGCACCAGTTTGCCGAAGGCAGAGCACATAACTAGACGTGGGTCACTATACACATTGAATAAAATTTTATAGCTATATTTCTACTTGTTTACCTACTGTTATTACATACATACACATGCACATATATTCATATTAATGAGCGTATCTGTTCAAAGTGCAATAAGAAGTGCCTCAGAAAAATTCCGTGAATATGATCGCGTTACTACTTTTTCTACTGCTGGGTACATTACTCTTCTGGTTCATTAAACATCAATATTCTTATTGGAATCGTCGCAATTTCCCTTGTGATCCGGATACGAATATTCCTTGCGGTTGTTTAACATCTGTAGTTAGACATGAGAAATCTATGGGAGTGGCATTATATGATGCTTATGTGAAGGCCAAATCCCCATTCGTTGGTATTTATTTGCTTTTCCGGCCGGCCGTAATGATACGTGATGCCGAATTGGCGCGTCAAATACTCATACAGGATTTTACCAGCTTCCATGATCGCGGCGTGTATGTAGATGAGAAGCGTGATCGTATGTCATGCAATTTATTTTCGCTGCGCGGTCAAAGTTGGCGTACACTGCGTCAAAAGCTGACACCTACCTTCAGTTCGAGCAAATTGAAAGCAATGTTTCACACCTCCGATGATATTGGTGACAAAATGGTTGAACATCTTAATAGAATTTTGCCGGATGAGGGTAGAGCGGAAGTAGACATCAAGGAAATTCTTGTGACGTGAGTATATAAACATCAAAATAAAATATATTTACCATATACATATTTAAGTAAACGTTTTTTTTTTTAAATAAAAAAATCAATAATAATTTTATTTAATAGTTACGCTATCGACATAATCGGTTCGGTTATCTTCGGCTTAGATATAAACAGTTTTGAAGATCCTAAAAATAAATTCAGATGTCTAGTACACCAAGCACGTCGCAATAACTTAATTAATGCAAATATTGGAATGTTAATATTCTTGTGTCCATCGTAAGTATCCCAATTATAAAAAATATGTGTATTTATAAAAAATTGTTTAGTGCAATTTTTATTCTAAAAATGAGAGTTTCCAAATTTTATTCATATATTTCGCAATCAATGAAATTTTAAAGTGCTAGAAGTGTCTAACCAATGAGTTTAATTTGAACAAGTATGTACATATCATGGTTGATAGATAACACGAATGATTTCGTATGGCAAGCGGTGTGGTCTTGCTTGCATTGGGTTATATTGCTAACACCAGAAAATCAACACAGAAAATGCTTCAAACCAAATGAGAAAGGAAAAAGTGTAATCATAATTAGGAATGAAAAAAAAACAATATACTGAAGAATATATTTTATAAGATATTTTTCTTTTTTTAGAAGTTACAGAAAAGTGTTATTAGCAATTTATTTCTAAGGGGTTTATTGGTTTTAATTAAATTTCTAGTGTTAATATTTCAAATTTTCAGTAGTCAACACAGCTGACATATATTCCCAATTTTCTGGGATCCTTTAGTCTTACTTTTTTTATTCAGGTCATATCTGGTTAACGATACATATATCTTCACTTATTTCACATGATAGTTGTGTTATTTCGAAATATTCTTTGAAATGAAGCCTTGTTAATCAACTCAATCCATTGCAAACCATGCACATTCGAGTTTTTTTTCAGTTTTGATATTTATTTTTGACTTCGGGGTTTTTGGAACTTCTGGTTGGAAATGCTCTGGATTATTTTGTCGATACTTTGGAACCGAATATTCATCCTAGTCGCATCATTTATGCTCAACCAGCTAAGCGAGGAATAGGTGGAATAGGATACTACTTGCATGAGCTCAAATATGTTACTTTTATTTCATCTGTTTCGATAGTCAACGTCTAGGTCAATTTATTCTTTCATATTATTGTTCACTCAGAACTGCTTGGAGAATTTCTGTGGTGCTACAATGTTATAGCAGTGAAGAAGGTCTTATATAGCGTAGTTTTTATTCATGTTGATTTTCTAAAAAGATCACGCTTCCACTTACAGCATTATTAAATACTTGGTTCGTTTGGGTTTTAAGAATAAAACTGCTATGGGTTTACGTGAAATATTAAAAGATACAATTGAATACCGCGAAAAACATAATATTATACGCAAGGATATGCTGCAGTTGATGATGCAACTAAGGAATACAGGCAAAATTACCGAAGATGATGATAATTGGAGCACAAAGGCCAACACAAGTAAGAACACAACACTGCAAAACAATTATTTATATAATTTTTGCGATATCACTCAGAGAACCTACTTGAAAAAATTATAAATAACTTCTGTATGTCTGGTTCATTCCATTTTTAATAGCCACTGGTGAGGAGAATGAATTCACTTTGGACGACATAGCGGCACAGGGTTTCATTTTCTATATTGCCGGTCAGGAGACTACTAGTTCAGCAGCGGCTTTCACCATTTTTGAGTTGGCTCAATGTCCAGATTTGTTGGCACGTGCGCAGAATGAAGTGCATGAGGTGTTATCCCGTCATAATGGCCAGATAAGTTATGATGCTTTGCAGGAAATGCCGTTTTTGGATTTGTGTTTACAAGGTATGACAACTTATAAAATGAATATTTTCTTCCAAATTTTGCATATTACCCTACATCAAAAAATTTTTTTTTCTACAGAAACCAATCGCAAGTATCCATTCCCGTTTTTGAGTCGAGAATGCACACGGGACTACACTATACCCGACACCAAGCATGTGATCGAAAAGGGCACACCCATAGTCATTCCACTACTTGGCATACACCGTGATCCACAATACTTTACTAATCCAATGATATATGACCCCGATCGCTTTTCACCTTCAAACCCCAATTATAATGCCAACGCTTATATGCCATTCGGTGTTGGACCACGTCAATGCATTGCTCTACGTATGGGTAAAATAAATTCAAAATTGGGTCTTGTAAAAATTTTACAGAATTTCGATGTGGAAGTGATGAGCAAACGTGAAATCATCATAGATAATCATTCGGTGGGAATTCAACCGAAGGGGGGCGTAAAAGTACGCCTCTCAAAGAAAGCAAAACCGTGTAATTAAATGTGCTCTTACAATATGTAAAATTAATAGACGCTTATATATATATACATATGTACATAGGTCATAAGGTTCTTTGTTACAAATTACATATAGTCTAATAGCATATATTTAGGCGTTATAACGCTGCTTGCAATTGCCAATTTTATTTATTTACTTTAGTGTTTTGCTTTAGTTAACAAAAGTTGTAGTTTCAAAACTTACTAAAAATCATTGAAAGAATCAACATTTTAATGGTCACACAAATACATAAATATCCATTAATTTAAATTTTTTTATTTAATTTTTTGTTATTCGCTTAAACTCCGAGGGCTTCTGGATTTGTTTCGCGCTGTCGCAGTTTTTGCATATTCTTCTGACGAAATATTTCTTTGCTCGCCTCCTTGATGGCCTCGAATATCTTGGCTTGCGACATAATTTGTTTTTGTACATTTTCCACAGCCGGCTCGGCATTTATGTCGATAAGATCACTCAGTCCTTCCGACATATCTTCGTTGTTATACATTTTGACATCATCCAAGTCAGCTCGTTTCCATAAAGGGTAAGGGAGAGATGAGCGCTTTTTACCACAACCTTTTAGTTTAATCAAGAGTGTAAAGTTTTTTTTTTGCAAACAAATATTTTGTTAAATAAAAAATTTTTTGTTTCTATTCTATTTGAGAAAACAGTAATAAAATCAAAATATATAAAATAATACTATTTTTTGCATTTACCTGTAAAAGCATTGCAAAATGGACGTTTCTCATATTTCCATTGGATGATGCCTCTTAATTTGTGCTTAAGTAGAGAAAAAGAGTAGCATATACATACTTATAAAATATGGAAAATCTGACGTATTTAGAAAGATATTTAAATGAAAAAGATGTACGTATGGAAATGTTTTTAGATTTATGAGGAACATCAAAAATTTATTGAAATCATAGCAAATTTATCACGCTTAAATTATAAAAAAAAAAAAAAAAACGGAAAAATGTTAAGGGGTTACATGGGTTTACGGGTTTTAAATAATCGTGTTTTTTATTATTTAATTTAATTGTACAACACCTCTAGAATATTATCCTAAATTTTCAAGTTGATCCGAGTAATAGTTTCGGAGATACAACCTTGAGAACTTGCGCGCTCGAGGCTAGATGGGTTAAGTGCGTCGTCCTTAAAAGCTTTTTTCTTGAAATTCTGTTTTTGAAGTCGGTTGTCAAGATTTCTCGAGAACTATTCAACCGGTCTTCATGAAATTTTACACAGGCATTTGAGTTACAATTCTTAAAGACTTGGCGAAGGATTTTCTCGCTGAAAATTTTCGCTGAATTAAAATTTTCACTGAAATTTTAATTTTTTTTTTTGTAAAAATGTCTGCCAAAATCCCAATTTTCAGTTTTTTTCCTTCGTCCAAGTTATAAGTTAAGGTTTTAAGGTTTAAAATATTTTTTTTCCAAAAATTATAGCATTTTTTTGTTAATAGTGTATGTTCGTAACAGTAAAAAATTGTAATAAAATATGTATTTCTTTATATGAAAAAAAAAAATATTTTGTTGAAAGAATGTTGTTTTTTACCCGAGGAAACCCGTGTAGCCCCTTAAAGTGCAATACCGTGCCACCATATTCAAATTTTTAAGCTATACTAATTGATTGTTCGTTTCGCCACTTTTTAAGGATTGAATTTATTTCTGCTTGGAGTCGTATTATAAAATTTTTTTATATTATTATTATTATTATATTATAATTTTTTTATATTATATTATTTAGGAGTTTTCGGAGGTCGAATATCGCTTTTCCTTCATTATTTTTAATATTTATTTTTTTTAACCTAACCTATAATATCTAGGCCCACATTCCACGATATAATTAAATTTATAATTGTTATGTAACTATATGGCAGACGTAATAAAAAAAAAGCGTAAATAACAGCTGAAACATTTCAAAAATCTTGTAATTTAGAGAAATATAAGAAAGAAATTAAATGTTTGAAACTGCTATATATATACACTATATAAAAAAATTGTATTTTTTTTTACATATTAACTGTAATTAACATTGTAGGTAAACAATTTCTAAATAATTAATATAAATAATAAGTAAAGTAAAAAATATAAAAAATGTTTACTGATTAATTTTATTATTTATTGGCCTCACATTCAAATCGTCACTATCCATTTCAATTTGTAGTGTAGAATGTAGACACAACAACCAAATCATGGACCACAACTTCCACGCAAACATTTTTGGAATTTTTTTTTCTAAAAAATCTTCAATTTAGTTATTAATATTTTTTTAAATTTTACACTTTACACCAACTATTCAAGTAGATTTAGAAACAACTTGATTATGTTCTTATTTCGAAAGCTTATTTGTACTGAGAATATACAAGAAGATACTGTTCCGTGCAGCGTTCGGCGTACAATTGACGGTGAAAGTGGACCGCGCGGCTTATAATTATTCCCGAGCTGCCACAGAACCATTGAAAATGGCAAATGTAGTAGAATTCCCTACCGGACATTGGAGCACATGTTTGCATTTATGTGAAATCTTAAATATGTATGTGCCCATGTGTATATGCACACTTGGAGGCGACAGTGCAGGACCGACTGCTGTGCTGTGAAAGCGCTTTTCGTGGTTAACTAAGCAGGTCGTCTGAGCATAATTGCTTTCTGCTACCAATTTACGTAGTTGTTATTGTCTTTATTATTATTTCATTTTGGTTTTAAAGTTTTTTGTTTTTTATTCTTGATTTCTATTCTGAAGCGCTTGACGCTCTTACTATATTGCGAATGGGCTATTTAAATTGCGGTTAACACTTTGAAAAATAAGCGCCATGAAATGTGTCTTTAAAGTTAGTTTTAGCATACTTTTAATGTGGTCAGCACTAAAAAAAATGAATGTGATCACAACTACTTAATAATAATAGCACAGATATTAAATTTAAACTATTTTTAATATCGAAACCATGTTGAGAATATACAAGAAGATACTGAGGAATTGGTATTCCGAGAACAACAGCTGTAAGTACGATCTGTTTTCATAATTTTGGATTATTCAGGGTAAGGGTTATGATGGGAATACCCACCATTCATTTAGCGGAATGGAATTATATTTATATCCGCATATGCACTCTCAACACTGATGTATTCTTCGAAATTGATTGATAAATGTATAATCTAATTCTTCTTCTTCACTGACRTAGACACCGCTTACGCTGTTTTAGCCGAGTTAAGAATAGCGCGCCAGCCGTTTCTCTTTTCGCAATTTTGGCACCAATTCGAGATACAAAGTGCAGCCAGTTCCTTCTCCACCTGATCTCTCAAACGGAGTGGAGCACCTCTGCTTTCCCTGGCAGGTACTGCGTTGAATATTTCAGAGCTGGAAAGTTTTCATCCATACGGTCGACATGAACTAGCCAGCCAAATTAGCCGCTATTTTTAAATTGGCTGAACTATGTCAATGTCGTCGTATAGCTCGTATACCCCATCGTTCCATCGAATGCGATATTCGCCACTGCCAATGCTCAAAGGACCACAACTCTTCCGTAGAACATTTCTCTCGAAAAGTCGTAAAGTCGACTCATCAGATGTTGTCATCGTTCATGCCTCTGCACCACATAGCAAGACAGGGACGGTGGGTGCCTTGTACAGTTTGGTCTTTGTTATTCTGTGTTGGATTTGGAGGCTGACATTGTTGTTGGTGTTAGAACTGGTTCCAACATAGAAGAAATCATCTACGACTTCGAAGTTATGACTGTAAACAGTGACGTGAAAGCCAAGTCGCGTGTTCGACGACTATTTGTTTGATGACAGGAGATATTTCGTCTTGCCCTCTTTCACCATCATTTGCCTTCTTTATCCAGTCTAGAAAAAGCAGAACTACATAACCTGTTTGTTTGGTGTTGACGGTAATAGAAACTGCCTGATCGTATTAATTTTCTTTATATGTTAGAAGTCCCGTTTAGCATAGACTTCTGATAATCTTCGAGAATATTGCTCTAGTTTCATCTTCGCAAAGATTTTCTCATATTTGGTAAAAGCAGATAATTTTGTATCACATAAAACATTACGCTACAATATAAATTCAAAGAGAGACCATTAAAATCCATGTTTTTTGAACGACCTGTTGTTAATCAAGCGTCAACTGGATAGAGAGATCACCAGCCTTTACTTAAAACAATTGATCTATGCCACTGTCGTAATGGCCAAAACATGCTCCATACACCGGCCGGCCGAAAGCACCTTTCGTGTTTTCGAAATTGTAGTATCGTAATATTACGAGAAGGCGACGTAACATAACCTATTTATATACACTTTTTCGTACACATTATTAACGTGGAGAGTGTGGAAAGCGTGTTTCGGAAAACAGCGTATGCCACGATTCGCAAGACAATGTGAAAAATATTTTCGAAGTGAACGGTTGTTTTGCGTGATGGTGTAAAAGTTATAAGACTGTATACAATTTTCATAAACTGTGAATTATTAAAAATCTAACGAAAACTTAATAAAGTTTCAATCGTTTGGGAGAATAACCGTTTGCTTATTGGCAAGTTAGTGCGCAGAAAGCATACATTTAATAGAAAATCAAAATCTAGCAGAAGTTGTGCACAAAAGTGAGTAAGAAATTAAAAATAAAAAGTTACATAGTGTGGATCGTTTATATTAACCGAGAACGAGTGTAAAATTATTTAATTTTCTTTAAGAAATTGCAATTTATATGAATGAAAACTTTTAAAAAATCTGTGAAAATGGTCTAAGAATAGCCGTTGAGAAATAGCAATGGCTGCCGCGACGCAACTCGGTAGTTGCGTTTCCCGCTGCATTTGTTTTCCCACATTGCCCTCTCGGCGCAGAGAAATTGGTGCAAACAGAAGCAACAAGAAAGCAATCGGTGACAATTTTCCCCACTTTCCCGTCTATAAATACCGTTACTATTTTAAGAAATATGCGCTTTTTTACCTTTTTCTAACTCACAGTACTAGCTAAATTTATTAAATTCGCTCCATAGGTGTGGAAGCATAGTCCAACATATGTATGTATGTATTTCATTTTGGCGACTAAGTCGGAAAACAGTTCATTTTTATATATATGTGAGTCGCTACATTTAAAATTCCACTTGTATAAATTATGTATAATATTTGAAAAATTGCGAGAGAGTTTTGCATTGCTTGACATCTCGGCTACTTATTGTGCTATTATGCTGGTAAGAACTTATTTATTTGTTTGTGAGTCAAGAAAACTCGACATCCTCGAGTCCGGTTTCATCACAATTACCAAAATAATATTTTACGCATTCACCTAGCAGTGAAAATGTAATTTCGGAAAATTTGTTCTCACGCGTAGCTAAGAACCACGTTGTGCATTTTATTTATTTTTGCAAGACGACCATTGATAAAGATACCACATCTATACTAAAACTTACCGATCTAAACGGGGTTAGAGCTCCGAAAATACAACCCTTGGCCGTATAAAATATTGACCCAGTAACGTAGAACCGGCTGATGTGAGAATCACCTATCAACATATACCACACCTATCTAGTTTAGTTTAGATCTCTTTCTTAAACTGAAGTTAGAAAAAAGCTCGTACTTGAAAAATAGGCTWGGATTGTTCTGATTATTAAAAAAGAGAGAGCAAGGCGTATGCAATTTGATTCCTGTTGATACAAGTTTAAAAATGGGAGATATCCTATTCATAGCCCAACCTAATACATAAAGTCCTTTACACATATCTTGATATCTACGTTACAAACTTATTTTTTGTAATTTAAACGAATACCGTTATTTTAGAGTTGGATTGCCTTTTTCACATCAAACTACAAAGTGTTTTAATGCATCGATACCAGCTAGCTTTTGCAAGTTGAATGTTGTTCACAATAAATTTCTCTTAATAATACAACAATTTTAAAACATCTATTTTACCAATAATTTAGTATTGCCTCTGAAAACACGATACTCTGTTGCAGGTCTGCACCAAAACCTAAAAACTTTAAAAGGTGCCCTAAAAACTAATATAGATTCAAAATATTGTTTATTTTTGTCATTAAAGTAAGCAATATTTTTAGTATTTACAGAAATTTGCTTAGGTACAATATTATTCTTTTCATTTTTTATTATGCTATTTGAATATAAATAGAAAACATTTACCCCTCTCGTAAAATTTCTTTCCGGACTTTTCGAAAAAAATAGTCAAAACTACGCTTTTATATTACCGTAAATGGGTCGAAATTTCTTCTGAAAATAAAAGTGATTGGTTTCATCTTTGTTATGGTCGAACTATGCATTTACACTGAACTAGCCGAGTGGATCACCCGAGCGTATAAGCACTTTTTCAAATGCGTGTATATTTTACGCTAATTGGAATGTAAACATTTATATGGAACGTAACATTTATGTAATTTTTGTAAACATTTCCACAATTTACATGTTCCATTTAAATAAAAAAAGATGTTATGACGTTTGAGATAATAAAAAATGTGCTTAAAAGAAAGGTGCATTGAACGAGTATATTTCTATAAAGTAAAAACAAAAATTCGAACGTGCTTTCTTTTTACCCTTTGACTAGATATTGTTAAATTTTTTTCCCCAGAGAATATATATTTTTTAATTGAATTTTGGCAATTTTCATAGCTAAGAAATCTGATGCTGATATCAGCTGTTGATTATGCCGTAAAACTAGATATGACCTAGTCTACGAAAAGGGAGCTAACGTGCGAAAACTAGTTTTCTGGGAAATAGCTGTTAAAAATCTCATCTTCCATCCGAATCAACTAAAAAGTGAAAATTGATTTTTTGGATTTTTTGACACCTAAGCCCCCTTTCCGTAGACCAGGTGCCTTCTGAAATTCGGCATTAATACTATGTCGCAACCAGTCTTAAAAGGGGTGATCCATTTCAAGATTTCCTATTTTGTAAAGAAAACTTTATTAATTAATGCAATTTCCAATCCTTACAGCTAGGAAGTTAACATAATGTATGTATGTGAGCTTAAAACTAATGAGTTCAAATGTTTATTGTTGTTGTTATTATTATTTAAGGAAAGAGAGAATTTAGTTTAAGAAAGATCAATTAGCAAGTATCGAAATTATGAAATGAGAAAAAGAGATATGTGAGGATAAGTAAGACAGGTAAAGAAGGAATGAAGAAGTGTATGTTGTTGGTAGTGGAAGTATTGGTATATGACTATATACAACAGTTTGCTGGCTTTTTATGAAAAAACACTTCTTTAAAAATTTCCCGCTGTCTACCGGGACAGTAACCAAGACTTTTGATTATAATAATTTGAAATGTTGCCGTCGTAGAGAGAAAGTTGGGGGAGTATAAAGGATGCGGATCCCTCTCAAGGGCATCCCTGAGAACTCCTTGTCTGAGAATAATTGTCACCGATTTCTCCACTCCCTCTCTCCCTGTCA